CTTGGTTGAAGCGCGACCTAGAGGCGTTAGAGGCACCACAACGAAGAGCAACAAAGAAGGTAAAGGGCCTGCGCTATCACTCTTACCACCGAAGGCTGAAGTTGCTGGGAATTTTCAGCGGACGCTATCGAAGGCTGCGCGGCGATCTCATATTAGCGTATCAGATATTGAGTGACCCCAACCACGTATGCCGCCATTTGCTGAAACTTAGCCACAACACGCAGCTCAGGGGTAACTGCTTAAAATTGAAGGAACAATATAGCCGTCTAGAGTGTCGACGCAATTACTTTTCCCTTCGGGTTTGCCAACCCTGGAACGCACTCCCAGACTCAGTTGTATCCTCTCCTACCTTGGACCTCTTCAAAAAACGAGTAGATGTTGCTCTTAGCCCCCAGTACTTTGTTACCTAAAATCCTCTGTTGTGGACTACGCCAAGCATGCTTTTCTACAGGATTTATGGATCAAATGGACCCAAGTAAGCGACCATATTTTACTTTTCTCACGCCTTGTATCAACGACCACCGCACCCAGGTATATTTCTGAACCTTTACTCTCGACTTCTTTTAATTTTGCGCTGATGTTGTCAAAGTATTCTTCTCGGCAGACGTTTGGTAGATGACCCACATATATTTTGATTTCATCCTATTCACCCCAACCATCCTACTGGATGTGCCATGTACTTACTTTTATTCCGTTGCTCATTGTTCTGAGTAGTTTGAAATGCCGAGTGTCACCGATGGCAACGTGAAACTCCATACTTTTGACTACAATTGTAACCACCTTAGCATTTAAACAGTGATTCACACCATTTGGTTGAACATAGGACAAATACACTCTATTGCCTAAAGATTGGTGAGGATCAATTTGAATATATTTTAGTCGAAGGAATGTATGTTGCCTTGAATATGTTAATACCAAACTTCTTGGAGAGCCTAGACACACATAATGCAAATATTCGCGCTTGCAGGTGCATTATTGTAGAGGAATATTTATTCATCCTGGTAGTGCAAAATTTTCCACTTCCGGGATGTAAATGACGAAGATAGAAACATTGCGGGTGCTGCGTAAACCATCTTTGACTAGTGGCAAATTGCAGTGTATTCGGAATATAGGGTAAATCAAAAACCAATTGATTGGCATACAGAAGTATTATAATGTGTTCGATAGCCTCAACAGAAGGTTTCATGAAAAAATACAAAAAAACAAATGAAGTATTCCTGTCAGCACGATCAAATAAAGGATGTTGTGACCATTTGGTTGATTCCACAAGTTCCCCTTCCGCGACGTATACGGAAGTACCCCTGTGTGGCAAACAAACGTAACAGGCGGCTCATGTATTGCTTTTCCTCTCATCATACTGAATAAAAGATAGTATCCATGCAATGATATATGCTGGATGCATATGTAGACAAAAATCCACACAGAGTTTGCTAGGTTTGTTACCTGAGTATGATGTCCCTAAGTACGTGTATGTTTATAAAGTTACCTGTCGAGTCTAGCGAACGGTCTGCCGATGCATTGATACCTGTGCACAATCATACATCGATTGCTTTGTGAGGCTTTATTCAACCCACTCCCCAATCTCATTTGAGTCACGTCACTAATTTCACCATTCCAGCCGTTCGGATTCGGCGTACGACAACTCTTTCGTGTCTACAATAAAATCATTCTGCCATTGCACACTCTAATGTTATGCTGCCGTTCTACGAAGCAGAAATTCAAATGTCCGATTAAGTCTAACATCTCAAATTTTGCTGCTCTTGTGTAAATTCAACCTTGTTGCTGAAACCCAAGAGTGCAACTACCTAACATTTTAAATACCTGCTAAAATTACGCACTTGAAGAAATGCACCTATTTTGGGATATCCAAGTAGATGCAACCACGTTCAGCTAAAACCATTTGTAATCGTTGTAATGCAGTTGACAACACCAACTGTGGACCCGTCCACTGCTGTTCATCCAACATCCACTGGACCTATTGCCGTGGGTGCCTGTACGTAGACTATTGCGTCGCTTGCTTCCCATGCATAGGCAAAAGTGGCAACCACGTTGCGAACATACCCACAAAGCGACGACCCACATAGAATGCAGCTCATCGCGTCATATTTGGAAAACACTTGCTTAAATGAAAAGGTGCTTGAAATTTTGATGCTGTGTGCTGAATGAAGCAAACGTATTCACACCAAACCCATCCGCCTGTCACTACTGGAATCGAAAGAACTGAATAATAACGTAGTATCCTTTAGGTTCCGCATTGATTGCATGACTCTCCCTATAAGTAGATGTGCAGCAATTATGGTGAGAATTGAAAACACAGCGGTTGTGATCAAATAAGCTACAATTTCTATAAGTTTCCATCCGTAATCAGTCGTAGTAGAGTTGGGGTCTATCCAACAGTTTGAATGACACATTGAAGCAAGGTAGGCAAACAGCACTAAACAGAAAGCGAACCGACAACCGCGTTTCACGTACTACGGTAAGTACCATCCTGGTCTAGGGGATGGCACCTGCGGGTAGATTTGTTGCATGGAGACGCACTAACTGCTACTGTAAGCGTTTTTGCCTGCTTATAATTTACCGTTGCTTATAAACTAGCAGCTACGACTATTGTTATGATTAACGCGATCATATGGCGCCAGAATTGACACGCATGCCTGTCAATCCTCCAAAACTCAAACCGTACTACCATCAGGTGGTCTAGATATATCTAGTGCAGTTGATGATTCGCTATATACCACAGTTCCTAGCTCCATTGAGCATACTATGTCCGTTCACGACAGGCTAGGCGTTCATATAAAATCTAGCATCCACAGTGCCGCACCAATACCTAAGACGATCTTTCTAGCTACCAGACAAAATTTGATGAAATGTCTCGCAAAATAGCAATATGCTAGCATGTAAGCGAGTGTGTTATATGCTGGACATTGGTTGTTCGTTTTGCCATTCTGGTACAGTTGTTAACCTTGTGAAGCAGAGGAAATACTTATCGCAAATGAATTGGTCAGAGCAGCTGGTTTTTATGCTATCCTGATACTCTGCTTTAGCTTATCACTGAACATGAGCACGGTATTCGCACTGTGTTACGTAAGAAATCTAAGTGTGGCGAGTCATAGAGATATGTAGAATTTTTCCAAGCTGCTTATCCTACATTGCTGTTTGCAGATCTTCACTAAGTAATAATTTACTCCAAAAACATCGTTGTTTCTTTGTTTTGTACGATCCACTCATTAAAGCTGCTTTTGAACTGCACGCAGGCTACCTCAGGAGGGTATGGAAGAAGCGTAGCACTGTTTGTTGCGGCTAGATTTCGTAACACGCGATACATCTTAAAGCTTATCCGTTTTGGTGGATGTTTCCGCGTAGCATTTGTGGCCAAGAGAACATCATATAACCAGAGTGGTCCAAAATTGGAGGGATGTACAAGGATTTATATTACACACATGCATAGATATGGCTATACGATACTATTCCTATATATCGCAGAAGAAACATTAGTGCTCACTTCGGAAGAAGATCATAATTTGAAAGAAAGGCGCTAATTCTGGACTCAAATGACCAGACTAGAAGCATTCTTAAAAGAGGCATGTGTACCGCGTATTTCGTAATTATTTTACTAGTTATTACTGACCATCGTTTCAACAAAAATGGTAAGCGCCAGGCGTGACCATAATAATAATGTAGCAACTCACATCTTCCCCCCAATCGGAACCCCAACTATTCTTTACTACCCAAAACGGAATACCATTCTCTTTTCCGAATCCCACAGTCAGCACGGCATGGTTCAAATGGTCGCTGGAACAACGGGATGAGTTTGGACTGAAAATCCCGCTTTGATAAAACTGTAAATGACAGTGGAATGGTGCTTCAGATCGTTAGGCACACACATTTGTGCAAACAATGGTAGAACAATGCAGAAACTAACTTGTAATAGTTTTGCATCCAGCCCAACGGAAAGCGGTCCATGCTGCTGAAGGTATTTGGCTTGGTACTTTTCGTCTGTTGGAAGAAATAGGGCTCCGCCGAGCTTGACCAGAATTTGTGAGACGTTCAACCGGCACTGGGATTCCCCTCCCAGGTATGGGTAATCTACGGCACTAACCATGCCTCCCATTCGTATAACCTCGCCGTATGTCTGAAAAGGGTATCCACTAGCACAGCCATCATCCAGCTGATCACAGTCAATCAGTTGCTGTAAGCACGAAAACGACACAGAATGGTCATATGTAACTTTACATTTGGCAGGAAATAATCAAGTTTGCCTGACTTACTTTATTTCTGAAACTCACCTGTTTACTCAACGAAGTTAAGTTTCCGCCATTTAAGTAGTATTGACCTTCAATGTTCCCGGCCACCGAAAATGCCCAGCATGAACCACAAGAGCCCTGATCTTCCACTGGTGTCACTGCACCTTTCTCCCGCCAATCGAAACTTGGCAAAGCTTCTGGTAATTCAACACGCTTGGCTATCTTCAGCTCCCGAGTCATTTTGTTAAAATGTGCATTCGTAAAGCGGGCTGAAAATTCTTCGGCTAAACAGACGGTTAGGGTGAGGTGTGCGAAATAAAATCAGGACCAATTCACTCACTTGTCAGGTCCGTGAACTTGGTTATACCGTACTTGGCTGTATCCTTCTCGTGTTTCTGCAACTCCTCGATGCGTAGCAGATTGTCTCTGAATATACCATACCTCTTTTCCTCATCTGCCGATAAAGTGCAAATAAATGTATACAAAAGCTAACGGAACTTACCAGTCACATTTAAATATGCCTTACTGTATTTGTGCTTGAATCGTTCGAACAGTTCGCGAAGATCACGATGCGTTACCTATTACACAGAAGAGCATATTATGCAACGAAATTTCTGATTGTTTAAAGTTTCCGGTGAATTGTAAGTGGGTTAAAAGAAACTGTGTTGAAAACTTGAATCCGTTAACACTTGCTTTCACATCGCAAACTTTCATGGTATTTTTGTGAAAGTTGGCAACTACGATTGGTAAACTTACTGCATGGACATTGCGTCCAAAGACGCATGAAGTTGTCAACAAAAAACTGATGAATAATAAACTACTCATGTGAGTTCTACTTACCTTACCATGAAACACAGGCGTTTATATAGATACATCTGGCTTTGGCCTACGCAATATGCATTGTGTGAACTTTGAGTGTTCTACGATTGCGAAATCTTGGGATCAAAGTCTGCTTAAGCGTAGGCGGTTCCAAGGGCTGTACAGGTAATGGTCTGTCACGTCAGTGAGTGCACGGATTTGGTTTCGTTTATTGCTATTTTCGGTAATCGAGTGTTATATTCTAATGCTGAACCTAGCCTTTTAGTTTGAGGTTAATAAACCGCTTCCAGCATTTAGCAGTAGAACGAATCGCATAGACAGATTACGAAGACAATTGCCGTCCGTAAATTTTCCTTGCGGAGATAAAAATTTCGGGGTGCTCATGCGACAAATTAACAACCAAAACGAATTTGCCTAATCTCAAACAGGCTTAAATTTCCTAGATATTCTGCCAGGCTCGTTTAACTAAAGCATTATTAATGCTTCCGCCCATCGAGTCTTATCTTCTCCCTTGTGGTGAAAAGATTCGGTCAGCCCGAAAACAGTGGATTACATCCCATATCCAATTACCTCTTACTTTATAGGATTATGCTTGGTATATTTAAATCGTATTCATCAGCATGTACTCCCAGATTATGTGTAATGATAAGTTGGTCATGGTGCAGGGCATGCAAAATTTTAGAATTAGTCCATTGAAACAGCCGGTAGAAAGTTGACCATATACTGGCCCTTACACATTTTGTCATCTCTCGCTCTGTCATCTTGTTTTATTGGTTCCATATATGTGAATACAACGTCTGTTTGAAACACAGCATTAGATGGGGGATAGCGGATATCCGTCTACTCAGACGGGATCATTCTGGACGACTAAGGGTGTAGAGTCGTGCACATGGTTTACACGCAGCAAAGATTAACTGCATCACATAACATTAGCGTTCGATTAGACTGATTACCATTTAACGGCCAACGGAACACTCATGCTTGTAAAAGATTTTCAACTTTTATCATAAATGCGTTTGAAATTTGTCGCCTTAGTGTCCGGCCTAGAGACAAAACTTTCGCAGCGAAGCTAACGCTTCGACCTTTTGGAAAAATATTTGCAGTAAACCAAGGAATGATCAGAGACAGACGAGGTATATTATTATAAATCCGTGTGCTTTTCGAAAATTAAATGTAATGGTGGTATTAGAATAAGAAAATAACCGCCTGGCCCGAACTCATGGTGCACAAATCTTTAACTGATTCTATCATTCTTGATTGCAGCCGAACGTTGTACCATGAAGTTGTCTGCCGTTATGAACAAGTTCCATAACAGTAACTACAGTGGACTCTGTTCACCGGTTTGTGGGACAAACTGTTTCGCAGTAGATAGAGTGGGATTGGAGAAAACAATCCAGTTGATCTACGCTTTCATTCTTACGTACGGACATAGTTTTTCATACACACACAGTTACGTTGTCCGAATCTGCTGTATTCAGGATCTCCAATTTAACTGACATGAACTTTGCCTCAGTTACGGACAGTGTTCGAAATACACCAAAATGATAAACATATGGTGACACAGGAATTTAGATGAATAAAAATTGTCGGATATAGTGACTTTCAGGTTGTTGTGCCAAAACGCGTAGCATGCGAAATGCATTCAATGAAATTAGAGAATAAGTGCTTCTTAAGTCCGAGGAGAATGGATGTTTACTTAGAAACTGATGTTGGGATAGAGAGGAGAGTGATAAAGCAACGGTCATTGAGTAAATATGTGTCGTCGTTCTGGTGACCATTGCTGCGACTCCTTCTGATACTTACACCACAGCATGAAGTTGCTGCAGGTGCATTACCGCAGCCTCGATTTAGATTCTGATCCCAACTAAGAAGCGCAGACAATTGGTCCAACTTTTGGAGAGATACACTTCGATAACTGTTGGAGATTTAGCCGACTTCTTGGGAACGGATGTCGGAATGGATGTATGAATGAAATTGATTGATTCCGCTCCACCAAACCTTTTCAGATAGTCGAGTTCATACCGTTTTGTACTGTAAATCACAAAACCTCTTCTCCAGGACATTGAAGCAGGACTCATTGGGAAGGAAGATTGGTAACTGGCATTTATAGGGATTGCCAAGCCATTCGTCTATACCACATATTTCTACTGAACAATTCATGTGCTTTATAAAAAGGTAACATATATCCCATTCCAAGCATGTTTAAGCTTCAATCTTTTACGTTGTCTTCGGTTAGTTAAGCAGAATTCAACGGATTCATCGACGCCATGCGACAAACAGGTTTTTAAAATGCATTGGAATGACGCACGTAACACACCCACATAAGCTCATCATTAAGCTCCCAGATCAATGGCATCCGTTATGCTTTGATAACAGTCAGGATAAACACAATCGGTATTCTCAGACAGGATATTAAGTCAGTTCCGATAAATGCACCGTACTCATATCTATGTCATCTGCGAATATGAGACTGAAGACGAAATTTAAACAGATTTCATCATTCGTATATTTTACTGGACGTAAACCAATGACGCTACTCCACTGTGGCGGCGTTGTACTGTGCATTTCTCAGTGTCGTGTCTTAGGTTTTCTGCTGAATGCATTTGCTCTCGCACTTGTCGTCCACTCTGCGAATTCCAATCAGTGTCTACTCTCTCGGGTGCCAACATTAGCACGGCGCTAATTTTGTACTGTCCGTCGTGTCCGGGCAATGCTTTTATCTCGCTTATGCATTTCATGATTCGTTTTCTGTTTACTGATCCAACTCCGGTTCCGTTCACCCAATAGACTAGTAGCATTCATACTGTGTCTTAGGTGTGTTTTCAAGCTTGCAATCGGTTCATATTTTCCGAGCCAACTAGTTCCTCCTTGTCTCCAACCGGGGCAGACTTCCTTGATTACAGACCGAAACAATACCGCGTTGTCCCTTAGACTGGTACATTCGTGGTCAACACTCTTGGGTAACATTCCACTTGCCTCTGTCTATAGGCGGAGTATCCGTTCCGCTAAATTGAAATACTGATCGTTATAAAGTAATGGCCACTAGCTTTTAAATCATAAGAACCCATATATAGAACAGGTTTGAACATAAATCTGTGGTCCACCATGACTATCGGTATTAATTATCACTTCTTCTATCAAAACAGAAAAGGTTTTCAGTATTTCTTGAAAGGTACAGTAAACTGATAGTGGCGCGGTAAGCCATTCGTAATTTTGCAAAGAAATTTCATTTGGCTTTTCGTTGTTATCAAACGAATCAGTTATTTACCAGGAAACTGTAAAATACAAATGGATATTTAAATAATCGATTCTCTTAACATACTCAAAGATGTCTGAGCAATCATACCTAAAACTGGCTTCTCATACGGCAGCATTTTCGTCGAGATACCCAATCACTCAAGATAATACCACACCAAAAATATAGGGACACATTATCAATTTTGCGAAAGGGGGTTCCGTATGTAAGCCAATATAATGGTTTGTTCCAGATTGTAAAATCCTAGTGCTCAGAGAGAAACAATCAATTTAATCGCTAAATCGGAATGTATACAGCAATGTGGCTAATACGATCGTGCAAACTACCGGAGGACAAAATTCACATAAACAAACGGCGTCTGTTTTATCGGTCGCTAGTTTTATGCGATAGACCTTAAACTAATATAATTATGGTGAATTCCCTGGTTTGAAAACCAATTTAGTCATTAACTCAGTAACAAAATGATTAAGAATAATGTTCAATTGAGCCTACATGCGACACGTTACAGGAACAATATGATAAATGATCTTGACATTTATTCCATCAATTGTCCGTCTCACATGTCTTCGAGAACCTATACTAGTTTGATATTAGAAATCGGAGGCCTCCTGTTTTCAGAAGTTGAACGCACAGTTAAGGGCACAAGTCTCCATGGTCAGATATTCAATACACCTTTTTGAATCCCATAGGTTATCAAGGGTAGCTGGTTTGAAAGGAGCCAACGGAGTAAATGAAACATCTCCGGCGTCCCACATTTGCCAACGACTTTCAAGATGGTATGTAGTGTGTCTCTTCTCATATCTTTCGGTAAGCGATTATTTTGAGTCTATTTTCATCGCAAATGATTTTCAGTCTTCGGACTGTCGCCATAATTTAGTCCACCGATTTGGTATGCCTCAACTACCAATTGCGAGTTACTTGTTCTATGCATACTATTGATTTCACTCATATTACTTACTCTTTTGTACAACAGTTCTGAATGCTACCAGTTGAATTCTATTAATATTGAACTCAGCTCGACGTCCAACACACAGTCGTATCTTCCATTCAGAAATCATCAGCTGTACACATTCCATTTGCCCGATATGACACCAGAGGTCGCATCCCTAATTTATCAAGTCAGCTGTTCAAATCATCCTTACAGGCGCGCAAAATATAGATATGCTGATATTTGCCCGCTAGCAACATTACACATCGTGACCGGTTTCGTAAACCTTTTTCTTATCTGAGAGCGATAGAAAGATTGTGAAACGAACCGAGTTGTTCTCTGATTCAGAAGCAGCGGTTCCAGTGAACAAACTGACTTAAACTATCTATAACTTGAATATTGGTCCAAATTGACTTACTGGCCAAATGGGACATTGAGCAGTTTACTATCAGTTGGACAACCGTAGTGGCCAAACTTGACTAGAGTACGCCATGCTCTAACAGAGAAACAAATTGTCAGACCGTATTTATCTTCTAAATCAGATCAGTGGTCTTCACTGCGAACTCGAGGATGTAGAGTTACGTGCTCTAGCCCGCAACTGAATAAATAAATAAATAAAGGTTTTTTCTTGGCTAAGCGAGGCACGTCTGCACAGGCATGATCATGTTAAGAGTACAAAATTTGATCAGTTACTGTACAATGGAAGAATGGGATTGTCGCATATGTTGTTATGTGGATGTAACATCATATGCGACAATCCCATTGTTCCATTGTACAGTAACTGATCAAATTTTGTACTCTTAACATGATCATGCCTGTGCAGACGTGCCTCGCTTAGCCAAGAAAAACTCTTTATTTATTTATTTATTCAGTTGCGGGCTAGAGAACGTAACTCTACACCCTCGAGTTCGCAGTGAAGACCGCTGATCTGATTTAGAAGGTAAATACGGTCTGACCATTTGTTTATCTGTTATAGCATGGCGTACACTGTGCATGTGGGCGTGTTTTGCTGTGTTTATGGAATTTGTGCATGGTTTCCTGCCCTTCTGATTGTGCTTTAAGGTGTCGCCAGTGTTAAATGGATGCTTGATGTGTGTGGACTTGAAGCGGTTCGGCGGATAAGTAGTGGGTGACTTTAGTTGGTACGACTCACAACTGCCACATCACCGTGTTGTTAAACGGAC